ACTATGTTTTCTTAAGAGCCGTAGCTCTTGTTATACCGAATTAATATTAAAATTTAAAAATTTTAAGTTTGTTATATTCAGAGTACATTATAAAAAGGTTTGTTATATACAGAGTTGACTATACTAGTTTAATATAAATTATAGATATTGTCTAAGAAAAAATGTTTTAAAATTTTAATTCAATTTTTATAATAATATAATTATTTATTATTGGCCTAAAAAATAACTAAGTTTTGTAATTGACAATAATATATATATATATATATATATATATATTTTTAACTCTTTGATAGTCTTGTTACTACTTTTATTAAAATGATAATTATTATATATACAGAATATATGCAATATATCTAAACTTTAATATTTAGATACAGTATCATCTAGTTGCTTCTCAAGTACCTAGATACAACCTGTCACACTGTACTAATGCATAAAATAGAAAATATTGTCAGCTTTATCTAAGAGCTAAAACTTAATTTTTTTCTATCTAGATTTTGGCAGAAAGGCTTTAACAAGCCTGTTTCTCTATTTAATAAAACTAAGAAAAACAAAAAAAAAAAATAAAACAATATTGCAAAAAAGGGAAGATAAGAGAAACAATCAAAAAAAAAAAATATCTATAAAGAGAGAAAAAACAAAAACCTAAACATAAAACTCTTAGCAAAAAATGATGAAAAAAAACAAGTAAGGCCCAGATAAGGTTAAACAACGTAATAAAAGAAAAATAAAAAAAAGTACACTATTATAACCTGTACAAGACTTAAAAAATTATATAACAAATACAATATCTGTATATCTTTACTATAAAAATTTATCTTAATATATTAGTTTTTTTCTAACTATATAACCAAATCTAGATAAATCTTTAATTGAGAACTAGTTAATAGGCCTTGTTATGTGGAGTAGCAACATGTTTGTTACTAAAAAAAACACATGGTTGCAATCTACTGGATTGATCAAATTTGGAAGAAATAAATAATACTAATCTTTTGACAAAAATAAGCTGTTTTGCCTACTAAGAGTATAGACTTTGTACTTTTTTTAAAAGAGAGTATATATTTCTTCAAAAATAATAAAACAAGTAGATCTGAGTATACTGCTAATATTCTTTTTGGTAAGTGATAAACTCTGAACTTGTTAGCAAGTAGTATATAAAAACTACTTTTAAATAACAAGTATTATCTTTATAGTAAGTAATAAGCTCTAAATCTATTAGCAAATAGTATATAAAAACTATCTCTAAATAATAGGCACTAGTTTATAGTTCTTGTCAGTCTTATATCCTTCTTTAATATAGTTTTACAGTTTTTGTTGAAAGTTTTGTTATGAAAAGTTGGTTTAAGGAATCATTAGGAAGAGTTTTTTTTATTTGTAACAATAATATTAAACATCTTTATAAATTTTATTATTAGTTTATATTATTGTTTTTTTCTTTAATATTAATTTAGCCTCAAATTTTAACTTATTAACCACTTTGCTAAAAATAGTTATGATTAAGAAAATTATTTAAATTTTATATAATCTTTATACTATACTCTAAAAACTTGTCTTTATTTAACAGTTTAAGTTTATTTATCTGGTTTGAAAATAGAAAATTGCTATATATTATATTTGAAGAATATCATTTGTTTAACTATATCAGAATTAATCTAGTTATATAAAGCTATAATATGTAATCTTATATCTGAAAATAATTATTCTAAAGAGACTAATATAGCTAATATTAACAAGTATTTTCAAGCTAAATTTAATAATATAAGATATATTCTAGTTTTATTTTTCTACTATACTAATAGATTACAACCTATTTTTTTAATAGATTTACAGAGATAATGATCAACTTCATCTTTATTAAAAATTTTATCATCAGGTTTTTTACTACTATATAAAGCTACAATTAAGTTATTATTTGTTGTAGTTTCAAAAGTTGATATACTAGATAACTTATCAAACCTAACTAGTTTATTAAAATTTTTATTATTAATCAATTGGCTTTGGCTAAAGAAAAAAAATAAATTTAATATAGCAAAAAAAAAAAAACTTTAAAAAAAAATTTTTTTAATATACTTGACAAATTCAAATAATAATTTGGCATAATCTTCTTTAGGTTAAGGAGATACAAACTCCTTAATCAGTAATTTTATTGTTAAATAAATAAGAATGAGAGAAGAATAACTTGAATTAGAAAATATTTTGGTGATATTATAAAATGGTTTTAATAGTTAGATAAGGCTATCTAATAATTGCTATTTATTTTTAGTTAAAGTAATTAATTTCAAATATTTGCTATTAAGTCTATTATGTTATTCTAATTCTGAAAACAATATTAAGACAAAATAATCAATCACTTTTTGTAACTCTCTAAGTCAAGTCTAGCTAATATGAAGAGTTTTATTTTGTCAGTATGTTATCAATTATTTGATAAATTTTTAAGTATCTATATTTGTCTTATATATCTGCAAGTTATTCAGATTGTTTAAAACTTTGAAAAAAAAAAGAATTAAATTTTTTGCTCTTTTAATTAACCACATTACTGGTTTAAGACCTTTTTGTATACTTAGTTAAAATGTATAAGCTAAACAAAACAAGTGTATAATATTATTTATTAAACTAATTACCTTTTTAATATTTGCTTTATTGTTAGTTATAATACAGAAAACTCATTTGATAAGTTTTTAATTTTTGATAATTTGATTAAGAGAATTTTAAATAGCTTTAGCTATATGTAGTGATGAAATAATTTGATTGCTAATAAAGCCTCTTTTAACTCAAAATTTGAATTAATCCATGTTGCTATTACTTTAATATACTTCTAATTTGTTCTTGAACTTTATATATTCATTGTTAAATTAATAAATTCGCTATTGGTATTTATCTATCAGCAAAATTAATAGGGCAAAATATTATGAAATAATTTATAAACTATAAAAAAGACATAATATTATATAAAATATTGTGAAATATTACAAAATATAAGATTATAAAATATTAAATAAAATATTATGAAATATTATATAAGAAATCACGCAAAATAATGCAAGATATTTCACAATAATTTGAAATAGTTTGAGTTTAAATAAGATGTTTAAAATAATTAAATTAATTCGAAATATATCAAATTAGTTAAAATTAATTAAAATACATTAACCTATTGAATATTGATAAATATTAATATTAATACATAAATCAATTAAATATAAATAAGTGTTAATAATATTAAAAAATATATAATATTATATAAATTTAAATAAAACTTAGATCAAAATAATTTTGATTATTTTAAAATAATTCGAAATATTTCGAATTTATTAAAATGATATATTAAATGTATTGTGTAAAATAAATAAAAAAATTATAATAATTAATAGTATATTATATCATATTAATTCAAATTAATTAAAATATATAAATTTATCGAATATAAATAAGTATTAATAACCCAGATGGACTACTTAAATTAGGTATCAAAAGTATACATGTGGCTAATTGTATTCTCGTGAATTTGATATAATATCATAACTATCTGAATAAAGCTACGTGCTAGGGGCCTAGTGGTCATCTTAATATTTAAAAAAAAAAAATAAATAAGTATTAATAATATTAAAAACATATAATAATATTTTATAAATTTAAATTAAAAAATAATCAAATTAATTTAGAATAATTTAATTTAATT